TCTCCCCCCCTCCCCCAAGCAAGAGCGATTTACATAACGAGGACCAATAATGCGAATGGATCTATATATGTATACGTTGCTGCAAAACAATCCTAGATTCGCATCATGTTTTATCTACATGTGTATGCGCGACTTTAATAATTTTTAAGAATTCTTGTGTACATATTTAATTGAAATCAATTAAATAATATAGGGGAATCGATACCAGCGCGCCGACGAATATGCGGGGAGACAAACGAATCGGTTCGCCAATGAATTTGTGTAATTTCAACAACTCGATGTATGGAAATGCTATTTTTAAAAATGCGCTTCTCTCTCCTACACACGAGAAAGTCGATACTGAAAAAGCCGCCCGATATTGAGGATTCCGTTTGTAATACAGATAAGCCCGCATCGAAGTTGTTTTTATCGCAGCTTACGTGCGATTGGCCGAATTGTTTACCTGTGTAGTCAGTCCCATACTTTTTGAATTTCGTATTTTTATTAATTGTCTACATTTATGCCGATATGTGTTAAAACCGTAGCTCAGTAATTTAAACAATATTTCAGAAAAAAAAAAAAAAAAATTGATGGAAATGTAAAATTTTCAAAAAATGAGAGGCTAATTTTACACATACTATTATTGTTTCGTTGTGAACGATAAAACGAACAATTATGGCGCTACTTGATCCCAAAAAATATTTGACATAAGTAATAGTCTATAGCGAAAAAACATCCTTTATTTTATAAATCATGAGAATTGAATTAATAAAAGCCAGCAAGCGATGCTTATAATGTATGCGTAAAAAGTATTATATATTTAATATAAGATTAAGAGAGAGAGAGTATGTAATAATCGAATGTTTTGATCAATTGGTTGTCATCTTCAAAAATTAATAAAAAATCAATTAATAAAATAAAATAAAAATATATATCTTATATATACATACTTTTATACATATAAAATTTATGATTTGTGGCTGCGAGTGTTTTATATAATCGTTTAGTTCTAAAATTATTTTTTATATTAATATTTTATTTATTATATATGTATATATATATAATACACATAAATATTGTATAATGATTATTACTAAATATGTATAAAAAATAAGAACCCATCTCTCTTCGCTCATTATACTTATGGGATTTTAGCGTTAAACTAATCTGATTATATCTACTTTTAACATGTGCAATAAAAAATTGCATCAATATATTATTAAAGTACTGTGGAAGAAACATTTATTTTATAAGCAGTTTCTTTCACAAATATATTCATAACATTAGATATAACCTTCTATTTGCAGATCGAGTAGTTTATCTTTAAAAAAATATATATTCAACCAGTACATATATATATATATGATAATATATTGATTTATATTCCTTGAAATGTCGCGATAAAGTATTGCTACCTTGATAAGACGGCGGGAAAAAGATGTGCATTCGCACGGCACGATTGAGTGGATATTTGATCTCGTAGCTCACGATAACGCCGATTAGGATTTTCGCGGCAAACCAATAAAACTCAATGTCAAGTTATATTAGGGTAGAATATGCGCGTGATATACGGGGTACATATTATTCGTATACCTGGTAACGATGTGTCGCGCCTGTAATTTACGTCGCGCGGTAATTGTTACGGAAAAAAGAATAGCCCTATAGCGTTTGTAAAAGTGATCGTCGAGTGTTATAAACTCGCCGGAATATTTAATTGCTGGAGCCAAATACGGGCATACGTAATTAATGGACAACATCAGCCGCCTCGCCGCGAAACCACCTCTCTCTCTGTTCTCGTTGCACGAGCAGAACAAATCGTAGCGTACACAAAATGAGCACTCTAGTAATCAATCGAGAAACTCCGCTTTAAAAAAGAGACATGAAAGTAATGATATTAAAAAATAAATAAATTAAAAATGTAATAAAAAAATAAAAAATAAAAAAATAAAGAAAAATTATAAACGATATAAATAAATATATTTATTAATTATTTTTAGAAATAAATAAAAAAATTAGCAATAATTCCATGAGAATTTCTTGATCCCTTTATCTTTGTTTAGGTAAAATTAAAGAAGTTTAAATTTTTATATAGTGGCTTTTTAAAATAAATGTCTATTGCATGCGCTTTCCAACGTTTTCTACTCATACGAAGAAAGAAAAAATAAAGAGCCATTTAAGTTTCAAACATTAAATTTGAAAAAATACTAAAAAAACTGAGAGACTTTTATATAAGATAAACATTTTTCACCCGCATAACATTTCCATTCTTTTTTGGGGAAAAGTTTTTTAAAAAGATAAAATCAGGAATTATGAAGGGGGAAGGAAATATAATGACATAATTAATTTATACTTTGCATCCCTTCCTGCGCTCTAAAGTTTCCGCTTTTTAGCGTGAAATTGAACGAACGGACAGTTACACGGTCGTTTCTCTACCGAATGCTACTTTTGCTACGCGCGTGTTCGATGCCGATTTGACATTTGCCGGGGCAGCAGATGTGCTCGTAAGAAAGCGTCGCGCCGTCTGGCGCAAAGGCTCTTTTGCCGCAAACTTCCAAAAGCTCGCGGGATGCCGCTGGCAGGGCGCAGTTTATTTTGCCAGATAGCGTATTTTCTGCGCGAGAGGGATTTCGCTGATTCGGCGAATTCGTCTGGCACGCCGAGATTCAAAGTCTTTACCGAAGCACGCGACGCGTATATAAAGCGTAATCTCTCTTTCAATCTTCACATGTTTATATTTTTATTGTAATATGTTAGTTCTGTCAAAATTTTATTTCTTTGTACATAGAAAAAATTTAAAATAAAGTTTATTAATTATAAAGTTCTATTAATTATTTCAGGATGTCTATTCAAATCTTGTAAAAAAATTCCTTGATCTTCCAGATATTTTTGTTCAAAATTCCAAGTAAAAAGATTATTTTAAAGATTTTTTGTGTGGTGCAATTTCCTAAGATAATTTTTTTTTTATTATTTAATTACTATTTATTTTTGTATTATTTTTAATGCTTTTCACTCATACAAAAAACAATATAAAGCCACTTAAGTTTCAAGTGCTAGATTTACAAATGTATTGAAAAAAAAAGAAAAAAAAAGTTTTCGTTAAGATAAAAATTTTTAACTTGCATTTTTATTTATTACTAAAAATTAAAATAAAGGATATGTATTGCATATTCAATATTTTGTTAAGACATTTAATATATAAAGAGAGATAGATATATACCTAAAATATATTTTAAACAAATCAGCAAATTGCTTATAGCATAAGATCAAAATTATTAAAGAAATAACTTTTTTTAAAATTCCCTAAAGTCCCCAAAAAATTCCATGAGAATTCCCTGATTTCTCAAGGTATAAAAAAATTTTCTGAAAATTCTATGTTTTTCCAATGAATAGACACCCTGTATTTTATATGCCATCAGCATCAAGGGTATATTTATAATACAAATTTATCGTCGTAATAAAAAAATTTACTTTGAAATATTTATTATTACCAATACGTTACATCGTGATATAAAAATTGGCGTCTTCAATGTGCATCCTTTTTTCATGATACAAAAAAAAAAAAGATAATAATAACTGCGGGTCTCCTTTCAGTATAGAAGCGCATCTCGTTACATCTCGCCCGTGCTTCATACCCAGAAGCAAATAGATACCATGAATCATAATGGCCACCAATTGCAATGAAAGTTCGCTCGTACTACGAGGAGACGGTTGGCTTGGAAACCGTGGAATCGCGCAGTTCTAAAACCTCCTCGGCACCGGTCGCGAAACTAGGCTACGCGATATCGATTCGGCTGGGTTCGAGAGAGTGGCCATGTGTATACTGTTACCGAGTGACGACGGGGGCTTGCCGTCGCATCGGGCACATAAATAAACACAAATCGTGACGTAATACGTCGCGTAAAAACGACCGATTTGACGAGAACGAATGTCGGAACGAGCCGCGGTTAACGATTACGCCAGATACGAGAGATAGCGTCGACGAAAAGAGTTCTGTGTGTAGAGAACGAGAAAGGAAAAAAAAAGAGAGAGCAAACTTCCGGCTGAGCAAACAAAGTCCGACGACAGACACGAAAACCTTAAAGACGGTATTTCGATAGCCACGCGACGAGAATATAAAGTTTAAATGTTGAGAAACCGAGACTGACGAGATGGCTCTCACATATTTTCCATCGTATATTTATTATTAAATATAAGAATAGCATTAATACAAACATGAGATGGAAATTAACAGATTATATTTAGCGTCAAATATGTAAGGAAGATATGAATCACGGTATTTACACAAAGCATTTCATATAAAAATATAAATATAATATTTGCACAAAAAATTCCATCTCATGCTCAAAAATGTGTGTATATGTGTTGGTAATTATATTTTATATTTTTGTATTTAAGTATATATGATGAGAGCCAATTTAAGCCAATTTAATGTTTGCGAAATAAGTTTCTGATTATTTTTTAAATTTATCTCTCTCAGGATTAAGATAAAAAATAATTTAACCACTCACCGCGCAAGTGGAGTAAAACGCAGCGTTGATCTGTAAAATACAAATACAATTTATATTATACAAAGCCATGTCCAAATTAATTAATATCTCAAAAAATAAATATTGCGTACAATTGAATCCATTCCTTTAAACAAATATTAAAAAAAAAAAAAGAAAGAAATTTGCAGAAGAGAAATTAAAGAAATTGTTTTGATATAAAAAAAATTTATATAAAATATAAATAAAAATATAATTTTTGTATAAATAATTTGTAAATAATTTTATAAATCTGTAACAATATCGAAAAATTTTATGTGTATATAATTATTAATTACAAATATTTGGTAATTATTCAGAATCACGGCTCCACCTGCAAATAGGCTGCAAATTTTTTTACGGACTTTTTATGTTTAGAACAAATATTTTATTAAGTATTTTAAATATATTTTAAAATAACAAAAAAAATGAGGAATATTTTATATACGTCATATAAAAACAATGATGTAAAACTGGTCATCATCACAAAGATCAATAACAAAATAATATATAAATTTAAAAATAAATAACAAAATAATATATAAATTTGAAAAATTATAAATTTACTACCACATAATTGCTCCGTCGTCGCCCGATGCGTCCCTGGGCCTCCTCCTCTCTTTGTTTGTTATTTACAGCTATTTTTTGTAGCACACACACAATATTCATTCGCGAAAATACGGCTAATGACGATCAATGCACACATGCATTTAATCATCAGAATACGACTATCGCGTGACATTTTATAATGCGCATTTTATTTTATATTATGACTAAAGAACAAAAATCACGGATATTATACAAAGCTACGACCCACTCGGTATCAGAAAATTACGACTAAATAATGTTACCTCTGCTACTAACAAATATATATACATACGCATTTTACTATCTCTCATTCGTTGAACCAAATCATAAAACACGCGTTCCATTTAATTATAGACGTACAGGCGCCGAATTTATTATATGTGATCGATAAATATAAAAATACATATACGCGGGCAATAATGAACGTATTTATTAATTAAACGCGTCGCAATGACGTTTGAGTCAATCTATATTGTACATTCACGATGCTTTGTTAATGACTGAGAAGTTTGAGAATGACATCGATAGTTTTTACTATAATATTGCGCGATAATACGCGATACTACACGAGTGAATGGTTAGTTAAGACCGGATAATCGCAAAAAGGTAGTTAATCGCGCGGGTTGATAATCACTAATTGTAATAATCATAGGAAATAATCGCATTTCGAGAGATGATACGACGCAGCTGCCGGCTCCTTCGAGTCTCGGAACGCGACTGACAATGACAAAACGACGCGACGTACGTAGGTATGTAACAATAACACGCCTTGAAAAGAGACGGCATGTAAACAATAACAACGCGCGAGAAGCCAAGACCGAATAACGGGTGGCCTGTTGTCATTATGGAAAATATTTAACGTGCTTTTATAATGAAATACTTTTATATTGAATATTCTATTCCTTAAATTTGAGATTAATTATTTATTATTGATAGAAAAGATTTGATATGGTATAACTTTTCATTTTATTGCAATCACTCAATCCCGTGACTCGTATATATTATATCGCTCTATGTTTTCTCAGTCTCTCTCAAAATAATTGGGAATTATATTTAAATTGATGAAAAATTCGCAGTCAAGTTTATTTAAGAAAAATCATATTATATCAATAATAATAATAAGAATTATTTTTTAAAATAGACTCGGATTTTAATAATTTATACGTTCTAAATTTTTCGCCGATTTAAATAATTAATTAAGTAATCTACCAATTATTTTTGCATTGGAGAAGTGTAGTAATATGACAAGATATATCCAATGTTTTACTAATTATTAGTTTGAAATTCAAGGAATAAAATATAATATAATTAGAGGTAAGGAAAGAGAGAGAGAGAAAATAGAATTAATTTTATGGTGCGTATAATATTTCCTCGTCACACGATATTTCGATCTATGCTTTTCACGACGTATGTTATGGTATGTTACGTATGTTACATATGTTAACAACATGTTATTATGTTTATCTGCTATAATCTTGTCAGTCGCGTTGCGAGATTCGAGCGGTACAAGGCATTACGTCGTATTATGTTTCAAAATATCGCTACTATTTCCTATGATTATTACAATTAACCATTATCAACGCTAATTATAATTAATTAATTAATATCATGCGCGATTAATTACCTTGCGCGATTATCGGGTTTCAACTAGCCATTAACTCGTGTAGTATCATGTATTATCGCGCAATGTTATAGTAAAAACTATCGATGTCATTCTCAAACTTCTCAGTCATTAAGAAATCATTGTGACTATACAACAGATTGATTCGTATCATAATGACCCGTTTAATTAACAAATATAATCATTATTGTGATCCCGTGTATATACATTGTATTGTAATATTAATTAATCCTGTACATTCCAAGCTTATATATTGATGTTTAGTTAAAATTATTAATTGTAATTTAGTTATAATTTATTTGATTGTGTTTTAATGAGAGAAATAATATAATTGCTGTAAAATGCGTACATATATTGTTCATTAACAGCAGAAATAGCATTCTATAATTTCGACAATGTAATTTTCCAATGCCAAGCGGATTATAATCTTGTATAATCGTTATTTTTCACATTCTTCGGTCACAATATAAAACAAAGTCATGTGCGATTATAATCGCGTCGGGAATACCATAAGTGTCATACGATCATTGTATTCTGATAATTAGTGTGCGCATAATCATAATTAGCCATTATTTTCGCGAGTGAATATACTACAAAAGAAGCAGCGAGCAACAAACAAGAGAGAAGGTCCGGGAAAGCATCAGGCAGAGCAATAATATAAGTAATTTATAATTAATATAATCTTATTAATTTATATATTATTATAATATTATAATAAACTTATTAATTTATATATTATTTGTTATTTATGTAAAATTAATAGCTTGTTTATCTTCGCAGTGATGACTAATTTTACATCATTGTTTAATACAATGTAAAATATGATTGTATGTAAAATATCGCAAAACTTGTTTTTAAATATTTAAAATATTTATAATTAATAGTTTAAATATATATATACACATATAATGTTTCAGAATTTTCTTTAAGATGTATAATCCCCTTTAGATTATTTATACAAGAGTTATATTGTTATTTATCATATTTTATATAGAGGAAGATTTTATTAAAATAATTTGTTGTAAAATTTTGTAATTTCTTTTATAAATTATATGTTTAAAGAGAGACAAATAAAAATTTAATTGCGCGCTATAATTATTTTTTAAAATATAAATTACTTTATACATTTCGTGCTTTATATAATTTAGATATATTCTATGAATTAATGATGTGTTTTTACAACTCCGTTGTTTCGTTTCATAATATATATATGATATATCCTGGTTAAATTATTTTCGTAAAGTATTAAATTATATTTATCTTAATTTTTCGAAATCATTTTAAAAAATAATCGAAAACTTTTTTACGAGTGTAAAGTTCGGAGAAGTAGTATGAAAATAATTACTCCAGAAAATCTTTTAATACCAAAGGCTTATCGTTAATACCAAAAAAAGTATATAACTTATTTTAATATACTTCATAGCAAACTTGCGTAGACTCGCGTTCAGTTTCTTTTTCTAACATTAAACGAGATGCAATAAATTCAAACTTAGAGCAACAAATTAGTAATAAAGTAGCACTTAATTAAGTCACGTATTTAGAATGTGATTTCTCGGGATGCGAGATTAATGAAGTAATTTTAAGAGACATGTTGTTAATTGCGATACTCGTTAAGAATTGTTGAAATAGACGTTTAAAGCAATCTTGAAATCTTGCTCAACGAGAATGAGTCATAAACAGCATTTTCAAATGGCTTGACATTGCATAGAGAATACTAAGGGTATAATTTATGTCACAAAAGAAGGTTACAATTATAATATTTTGCATCGTTTTTAAACCAAGCGCGATTTCTTTGCATACCGATGAGACAAGAATAAACAACCAAGTAATAAAAAAGAATAAACAACCAAGGTTATTATAAGCATGACTTGTAAAAAAAAAACCTGGATCGATCATGGTCATCGTTGTATAAGATTGATATTACATTTTTTTTTTTTGTAACAAAGTAACAGGTTTATTAGGTTAATAATAGATTATTCATATCTTATATTATACGATTCTTACATATTAATTGTGTAGTAATTAAAAAATTTCGGAATATGAACATTACTATTTTGCGGTTGATGCGTTAACGAATTCATGTACAAAAAGATGGAAAGAAATTTACCACGTATGATTGTGAGTTTACAAAGTTCCAAGTTAGCAACAAGTATCTCGTCGACGAAAATGTGTCCGGACTAGCAGCAATGCAAGCACGTCGCACAAGTATGGAAATGTAGCTGAACTAATTAAGGAAATATTCTCGCCTAGAACGCTTCAGAATACTCGTGTCGTTGCGGAGAACTGCAATGTAATTTCGGTTGCTTTCGCGTTAACTATGTTTCCACGATAATAAAACCAAAGGGAGGATTATTCTAACGTGAGTCGTGCTTTATATGCAACCATGACCAACTGCAAGTGACGGATATTTATTTTATTAATTTAATTCATCGAGTTTGTCAATTTTTATTAAACAATTGAAATAAAAAAAAGTAGCAATAACAGGGTGTCTATTCAAATCTTGTAAAAAAAAATTCCCTGAAAATTCCCTGATCTTCCAGGTATTTTTGTTCAAAATCCCAGGTAAAGAGAATATTTTTTAAAGACTTTTTTGGTGCAATTTTTTAGAATAAGTTTTTTTATGGTACGCGTTTTCTAATGCTTTTCACTTATATAAAAAAAAATACAAAGCCACAAAAAAATTGAATAGCTTTCGTTAAGATAAATATTTTTGACTTCCATAACATTTTTATTTTTTATGGTTAAAATTTAAAATAAAGGATATGTACTGTATATTCAATATTTTGTTAAGACATTGAATATATAA